AATCTGCATTATTTTTGCCTGTTATAGCCACTGTTATTTTAGCTGCTTTGGCTAATTACGAGCGTTGGGTTTTTGACTCATTTGCTGTGCCAGATTCCCTCATGGAAACTCTTGCTTGTCCTGGAACATTTTTCACTTTAGGCTCAGAATCTCCACACTTGGGGGTGGGGGAGAATCTATGTATGTGTTTCTATTTTGTACAGAGTCCCTCACTTTGAGGTGAGCCCCTCCTTGTCACCTTGGGCCAGTGTTTCTCACCCCTGTGGACACTCAGCAATGTCTGGTGATGTTTGTTTTGTCACAACTAGGGTGGGGACACTACTGGCATCTAGTGTTTAGAGGTAAGGATACTACGAAATAACCTTACAATGTACAGGACGGCCCCTTAACAACAAAGAATTTTCTGGTGCAAAATATCAGAGGTGACAAGGTTGAGAATCCCCGCCACAGACTGAGAATTAGCCTGAAACTCATCTATTTGGGCACACCCACCCACCACACTTGAATCTTACCCTAGGGGAAGCAGGGTGGGATATTGTTTAAAAATATCTTATCTTAGGGGGGCATGAACTGAAATAGACCAGACTCGGATGTCATTCTGAGTTCACCACTCACCTGGGTTTAAGTTCTGGTGCACCATTCGTTAGTTGCATGACCTTGAGCAAAGTGTCACCCTCTCTGAGCCTCAAGTTTCCCCATCTATAAAACAAGGGTAGGAATCCCTATCTCTTAGGTATAGGATTCCTAAAGCTGTCCTCACAGTGCCCAGCACATAGAAGCATACCGTCCATTCACAGATCCTACTCTGTACCAGGTGCTGATGAACCCATCAGTGAGCAAAACAGATAGATAGATATCCTTGCCTTCAAGGTGCTTTACTTTCTCTTGGGAGGAAACAGACATGTCAGAAAAAATGGTAAATGATACCATATGGCACATGGTGAAAGTAGAGAAAAATAGCGTGAGGGGGTGGCAGTGGCAGGGATACTGAAAGGAACTTGGCTGTTCTCTCTCAAGAGCTAGCCCCTTTTAGGGTTTTTTCTCCTAGCAGTAGTCACATGTTCCTCCCTCCTTTCCAATCATCTCATCTAATTGTACTGATGACTGGTAGGAGTGCAGGTCGTGTGGTGTGGTCTACACCACTATGAATACCCACCCATGGCTTGGGCCTGGTTGGCTGTGAGCTGTCCCTGGAACCCATATTCTTCATTGCTTCTTTGGGATTCTCCTAAGTGGATTTTTAAAAAGACAAAATGTTTGTTTTAGTCTAGCCTAATTAAAGGTATAAATCTGAAGTTTGACTGGTCAAAGAGCCACTCAGTCATGATTCCTACAACTGAGCAAATGCATTCCCTTTCCTTAACTAGATTTAAACTCCTAGTAGGCTCGGTCTCATCTCCTGGAAACCTCCCCCCAGTGCATGATTTGCATATAAATAGCAGGTACGGCCCCATAGTAGAAATAGCTGTGGTTTTGCATCCAAACAGATTTGGTTTTTAATCCTGCCTGGGTAAATGACTTAACCTCCCTGAGCCTCAGTTTCTTCAACAAAAAATGAGAATAAACTCCCACCTTGCAGGA